CCCCCCCTCTGGCAACTGTCAAAATGTTCTCTGTATCTACGAGCCTGTTTCTGCTCTGCTTGTTCATTTATTTGGTGTTTAGATTCCACATAAGTGAAGTCATCTGGCATTTGCCTGTCTGACTTATTTCACTCAGCATAATACCGTCTAGGTCCATCCCTGTTGGTGCAAATGGCACGATTTTAGTCCTCTCTTAGGGCTGAATCATGCCCCGTGGAACATACGCACCGCTTCTTTCATTCATCTACTCATGGACACTTAAGTTGCTCCCGTATCTTGGCTCCTGTGAGTTCTGTCGTCTTCGTTTTAATGTCGCACTGGCCTCACCTGAATGCTAGCGCTGTTTTGTTACTGTTATCCACTATGGCTACTATTTTTATTAACTTACACTGACTTAGCACTCATGATGCTCCAAGGAACTGTACTAAGTACTCACATATTTATTTACTTCTCACATCGGCCTCTGATAGAGGACCTATAGTATCCCCGACTTACAAGTTTTAAACGTTGAGACTTAGAGAGGTTTGGGAACTTGCCCACTGGACGTAACTCGCTTAGATAATTTAATCAACCACAAGCCTTCACCAAGTGCCTACTATGTACTCATTTATGTACAGGGTTATTTAGTGCTGTATTACTGGACAGGGAACTTCATAATAGTAGGATTAGGCCCATGGCTTGGGTTCAAAGGCATTACGCATTTTACTAGTCCATATTTCAATTTTGTTTCTGTAATAAAACCATGCAATTGTATCATGACCTTTGTCTCACCCTAAATAATATGGTGTAACTTATATTTTATACATTTATTTAGATATACATATGCGTTTGTTGCTAAGTTCAAGTAAGTCTGAGGTCAGAGGCCCGGTGACTGATGTTGTCCCAGAAAGTAGAATTCTTATGATGCATAAATGATAGCTGATCAAGCCAACACAACTGCTCAAGGAATTATAGCTTATAGAGTTGCTTGGCAGATGAAATCGCTGGACTAATTAGAAAATAATGCATTATGCTGTGCCTAGAAAAATCACAGAGCAGCGGGAGTGGAGCTGCATTCTGAGTCCCTGCGGCTGCCAGTCACAATAAAGCCTGTGCCCTGCGTTTCTTATCTCTCTCTCTCTCTGTTTCATTCCTTCTCCCTGCAGCCCAGAAATTGAAACAGACCCTGGAGCCTTGTGATACTGAATATCCAGCATTTGTCTCTGAGCGCACCATCAAGGAAACCTCAGGGAACATTGCTTGTGAAGACTGCTCCAAGTAAGCCCCCCACGCCCTGCTCAGGGACTTGCCCAGATGGGCCGCACAGGACTCGGGGAGAGGGACACGTGGCCCTCTGGTGTGAGGAGGCCTGTCCCTCAGCTTGGAGGAAACGCCACCTGGCTCCCTTGGAGAGATCACTGGGACTTGGGGACGCATGCAGAGCGCATTAGAACGCACCCTAGAGTGTGGGAGGGAGACTTTCGCTCTGTTTGCTGGCGGTTGGAAAAAGTCCTAATTTGTCTTTCCTCAGTTAACAGTTGGCAGTTTCAGGTATTTGTTCCAGGTGTCTTTACCAAAAACACCAAAACTTCAGATTCACCGAAGTCTGGTGTGCTGAGAATGATGCTTGGAGGTTTCATGTGCATGTCCCTGATTACTAATGCTGGTGGGCCTGTTCTTTTTTTTCTTCTTAGCAGTTTTATTGGTTATTTGGGTTCCTGATCTCTTCATTCCTGTGTTCCTATTGGCAGGTCTCTGTTGGGTGGTGGATCTACTCCTAGTGATTTGGGAGCTCTTTCCATGTTTCGGATACAATCTGTTTGCAGTTATATGATTTGTATGTGTGTCTTCCTGCTCCTGGGTCTGTCTCTTCACATTTAGAGATGTCCTTAGATGCACAGAAATTTGCTTTCACTTTTATTTTAATGTAGCTTAATTTATTCTTTCTTCAGGGATTTGTGTACTTGGTACCTTGTTTAAGAAATTTGTCTCTGCACTAATGTTATAAGGATAGTTTCATGTATTTTTATTCTGAATGCTTTAAAGGGCTGCCTTCCACACTCAGGGTTAATCCCCCTGGTGTGTGTGTGCGTGTGTGTGGCACAGGGTGTAGTGTAGTTTGGTCTTTTTCTATATAGTTGGCTTCGTAACCAGCATTTTTTATTGAGTCATCTTTATTTTCCAGCAAGTTTATTCTGACACCTGTGTCATGGGCTGAGTTCCCATCTATCTTCAGATCTGTCCCAGGCTTTATGGCTTGTCAGTGCCTCTGCCAACACCCTGGCTCTTCAATTATTATCACTTTATAATATGACTTGTTATTTAGAACAAATATCCTTTCATTTTCTTCTCCTAAGTCGCCTTGACTAGTCTTGCCTCTTTACTCTTACACATTAATTTTGGAATTAGCTCATGAATTTCCATGACTCATGCTAAAGCTTTGATTAACATTGCTATAGGTTTTATATTAATTTGAAGATAATTGCTATCTTTTATGATAGTGGACCTTTCCCCTGATCAACCATGTATGTCTATTTATTTACATATGTCTCTTTCTATGCCTTTCAATAGTTTTATAATTTTATGTTAGATTTATAGTTTCCCTTGCTAGCATAAATGGTATATATTTAAAACTACATTTTCTGATTGGTAATGGCTTTGAGAGCGTCACAGATTTCTATACCTTGAGTATCTTATGTCCAACAAATTGCTAAATGTTCTTTCAGATCTGACAGTTTCTGTATAGATTCTCTCGGGCTTTCTGCATAGACAGTAATATCACTTGTGAAAAGTTTCCTTTCTAATCTTTAAACTTAATTACTGATTTGTGTTTTATTACACCGGACTTCTGATACATAGTTGAGTAAAAGCAATGAGAGTAGGCGACCATGTTTTATACCTAATTTAAAGGAATTGCTCCTAATAATTCCATGTGAAGGATGATGTTTGCTGTAGGGTTTTTAGAGCCGTAGCAAAATATAAATAATATAAGATTTACCACTCTAACTATTTTTAAGTGTACAATTCAAGTGCATTAAGTAATCACAGTGTTGTGCAACCACAGCTATTATCCATTTCCCAAATTGCTGCAGGTTTTTGGTTGTTAACCATTTACTGAGTTAACAAAAACCTCCTTAAGATTGTTTGGTGCTACTGTTGTTATTCTGTGAAACTTGAATGGGTGTTGAATTTTATTTTTAAAATTTTCTACATACATTACTAAAATAATTTTAATTTTTACTATGCTTAGTTACATGGATATAATTTAATTTTTTTAATCATGAAATACATATATGCCACAAATGTCTTTAATAGTAGATAGGTTGTCTCATGTGAAAACATACTTGCTTTCCCATGATGGGCTTTCATTGTCAGGATCACAAAAAACAGTAACATGTTCAGGATTCATTGGCTCGTGTTAGATTGTGGACTTTTGCATCTGTGCCCACCAGGAGAGTGGGCTCTGCTTTTCCTCTCTCCTACTGTCATTTGGCTTTGCTCTCACTGTCATTTTATTGTCAAAAAATTACTTGGAGAATTTTTCCTCTTTCTCTAATACCTTAACATTTTGTATAAGGCTAAACTATCGTTTTCTTGTAGGTTTGGTAAACTCATGAAACGATCAGTGACTGATGGATTTTTGTTTGTTTTTGTGTGAGTAAATTTTCAACTACTGGATTCGTTTCTTTAGCCGTTAACTGTCTCTTTGGAGTTTCTGTTTCTTTTTCGAAATGACTTTGGTGATGATATTTCTTAGAAAATTGCCTATTTCATCTCACTTTTCAAGGTTATTGCATGCACTTGTTAATAGAATTGTCTTTTGATTAAAAATGTTAACTTCTTGGTGATTTTGCCCCCTTTTAAATCAATCTCTCTCCCCCTCCCTCCCTCTCTCCCCCCCCTCTCTGGGTAATTTAATATATAGNGTGTGAGTAAATTTTCAACTACTGGATTCGTTTCTTTAGCCGTTAACTGTCTCTTTGGAGTTTCTGTTTCTTTTTCGAAATGACTTTGGTGATGATATTTCTTAGAAAATTGCCTATTTCATCTCACTTTTCAAGGTTATTGCATGCACTTGTTAATAGAATTGTCTTTTGATTAAAAATGTTAACTTCTTGGTGATTTTGCCCCCTTTTAAATCAATCTCTCTCCCCCTCCCTCCCTCTTTCCCCCCCCCTCTCTGGGTAATTTAATATATACGGCTTTCATTATTATTTAACTCTAACAGTGTTTTCATTTTCAGAATTTTTTTGATCTATAATTTTTTAAATAGTGTTTTAAGATTTCCTAATATGTGGCATTTGAGGCTTTTTTATTATTAATGTCTAATTAAATGATGTTGTGATCTGTTTAACACATGGTTTTTAGTATGTGTGGAGATTGGCTTTGTGTTCTAGCACTTGTCCATGTATTTTTGAAAGCAAGTTTCATTCTCTAATAGCCGGGTACAGGGATCAATATATTATTCATTTTTGTTATTTTGCGTCTGGATTTGTCTAATAAATAGAATATAGCTGAAATACCTCTGTCTAGTATTGGCAGCTTTGTTTGGATTTATTTCTATTTTTATTTTACATGCCCTCTACCCTTCATTCCCCTTCCTTCCTTCCGTCCTTCCTTCCTTCCTTCC